GTTTTTGAGACAGGGTCTCCCTAAGTTGCTGAGGCTGGCTTTGAACTTTCCATCCTCCTGCCTCAGCCTCCTGAGCTGCTGGGATTACAGGTGTGGGCCACTGTGCCTGGCCTCCCTATGTTCTTACCAAAGGACCCCAAAGAGTTTTTGTTGATGTAGGTGATAGCTATCAGTATTTATTGCATTTAGAAAATAAAACTAGGGCTGGGGATGTGGCTCAAGCGGTAGCGCGCTCGCCTGGCATGCGTGCGGCCCGGGTTTGATCCTCAGCACCACATACAAACAAGGATGTTGTGTCCGCCGAAAACTAAAAAATAAATATTAAAAAAAATTCTCTCTTTAAAAAAAAAAAGAAAAGAAAAAAAAAGAAAAGAAAACTAAGCAATTTAAGGAATATGTATTGATTTGTTTAAAAATAAACTCTCCTGTAATGTAACATATTTTAATGAAAAAATTACCATCTTTTCAAAAATTAGTGAGAAAGTTGTTGTCTGCATACATACGCATATGTATTATATATGCAAATATGTGCTTATATCTATATGTTTACATGCTTTTATTTTTCATACTGGGGATTGAATCCAGGGTGCTCTACCACTGAGCTGCATTCCTGGCCCTTTTTAATTTGTTTTTCTTTTCTTTCTTTCTTTCTTTTTTTTTTTTTTTAGTACTGGGAATTGAACCCAGGGAGTCTTAACCACTGAGCCACATCCCCAGCCCTTTTTTGTATTTTATTTAGAGACAGGGTCTCATTGAGTTGCTTAGCGCCTGGCGGTTGCTGAGGCTGGCTTTGAACTTTCCATCCTCCTGCCTCAGCCTTCTAAGCCACTGGGATTACAGGCCTGCGCCACCACACTGGGCTCTTTTTAAATTTTTTTTTTTGAGACAGGATCCTGTTAAGTTGCCCAAGCTGACCTTCAACTTGTGATCCTCCTGCCTCGGCCTCCAGAGTCAATGGGATTACAGGTGTGCACACTGCACCTGGCTTATAATAATAACGGTGACCTCACAGGGGAAGGGTTCTTGTGCTGCACTTTGAGAATCACCCCACCCCACCAACTGAATGCCTCTGGGGCTGGGTGACCTCAGCATAAGAGTCAGTCCTGACTGCCGGCAGGTAGCTGGGACCCTCACTCAGTTTTTGAATCTTGGCTTCTTCTAACACTGGGAGGATTCGGAATCGCGGGGCACTCTAGTGCACAATACACACCTGCTATTTGACCTGGAGAGGCCACCTTCTTCTTCCTTTTTTTTTTTTTTTGTACTGGGGCTTGAACTCAGGGGCACTCAACCAATGGGCGTGTTTTGTATTTGTATTTTATTTAGAGGCAGGGTCTCACTGAGTTGCTAAGCCCCCAAGTTGCTAAGGCTGGCTTTGAACTCCGGATCCTCCTGTCTCGGCCTCTTAAATGGCTGGGATGACAGGCGTGCACTCTTACTAACACTTTTTATGCATGTAGTTAATTAATTCCTCCTGAGGCCTGTCCTGTGCTGTGCTAGGGACATGGTGATGACATGGTGATCCTGGCTCAGCCCTCCTGGGGCTCCCAGGTGGATTTTTTATTTGTGAGGGACTGCCTTCAGCTCCTGGTCCTCAAGGGTGTATGAGTTCTCAAAGGCTGAGAAGGTAGGGAAAGGCAGTTTAGAGAGTGGGAACAGCATGCAGAGTCATGAGGAATAGAGGAGACATGCTCTGGAATGCCCAGGGTCCTCTCCCTCCAAAGCGCCTCAAGTCAGTTAGTGAGAAACAGGGGTGCATCTCTGGTTTAACTTCTTTCTTTCCCAACCACTTTTTTTTTTGTTAAAGACTTCCTCAACTCTGGGCTCTTTGGTGAAAGTCCCACCTCTGAGCCAACCTCACTGTCTCATGCTGCAGTCCTTCGGTTTCACAGCATATCCACCCACGTCCTATTCACTTAGGATGTCCCAGCAAAAAAAAAAAAAAAAAAAGGTGTCCAGGAGGGCGCAGGGTCGGGTCCAGTCGCCTCCACTGTCCCCATCCGGGGGCCTCCGCTTGGGCCCGGGTGAGTCAGCCCCTGGCGGCTCCCGCGTCATACCGGCCGCTCCGCTCCGCGCTATTTCGGGCGCGGGGCGCTATAAATAGAGGCTCGCGGAGCTGCGCCGCCCCCCTCCGCTCGGGCCCCCTGCGTCCCCGGCCCCGCCGCGATGGCCGGGCCGCGCGTCACCGCGGCTAAGTTTAGAGGCGGCGGGGACACCGGCCTGGTCACCGTGCCCCGGCCGCGCCTCCGCCCCCAGGGCCGCGGGCTCCCCAGCCCTTCCGGGGCGCAGAGGGGACCCGGGCTGGGACCTGGCGGCCCGCGCGGCCCGGGGCGGCTGGACCTCGGACTTGGGGCGACTGGAGCGAGGACGCGGCTCCGCGCTGGGGGCGCGGGAATCGGAGCTCGTCCCGCCGGGACCCGGCGACGCACCCGGCTTCCCGGGCCGGAGTCCCGCGTCGAGCGCCAGGTGGCACCGCCAGAGCCTCCCGCCCGCCCCTAGCCCGCCGCTGACAGTGACGCGGCGGGCTTTGCAGCTCCCGAGTGGCGGGGAACGTCAGGGCGGGACAGGGCGGGACCAGGCGGGGACCGCCGCCCTCACCGTGTCGTCCCGGCGCTTCTGCCGGCTCCCGGGAGCCCCGCAGGCAAAGCCTCTCGTGGGGCGCCGGCGCCCCCTGGCGCCAGCGGCAGGAGTTGCGCTGCAGGGTTGGCAATGCCCAGCCCCCGGGGACCGAGTCCTGCTCGCTTACCCTGGGGGCCCCCAAGGACACTGATTCGTAGTACTTCTTTAGACCACTCTTGGGTCTCTAGTCTCTCCAATGAACTAATGATGCCAGGGCCGGGTGACCGCCGGGCCCAAGACCACAGGAAGTGGGCCGCACAGCTGTCCCAGTGCCTGTCGCAGCGCAGGGCACACACTCTGTGCTCAGTACTTAGAATCAAGAGGTGAGCAAACCGGGCCATCTCAAGACCGGACTCTGGTCTTACTGAATGCTCAGTAACTGCAGATGGCAAGCTGAGGCTGCGGTGGAGAAGTGGCTTTCTGTGGGGCTCGGCCTCTGTGGGGTTCATTCACACAACACTGGGTTCAGAAGCGCCTTGTGAGGGACCTGTGATGCAATGGCAGCTCCAGCTGCCACTTCCCAGAACCAGGTCAAAGGCTACTTATTTATTTGAAAAATCCTAACAATAATCCCTCTACTGCAGATCAAGTCCAGTTCTAAGCACTTTCACGTGTTAATTCTTCACGTGTTAATTCCTCTTAACACTTGTATTGTTGTTACACCCATTTCAGAGATGAACAGACTGACAAAGAAATGAGTTGCTGGCTCAAGGTCACGCTGCTAATTAGTGATCCTGGAGAAAATGACACCTGTGGATGAGACTATGAAGGAAGGAGAATCAGATGGGTCAAAACTCTTCTCAGAGGCCACCCAGAAGTCAGAGAGAAAGAAGAGCAATTACTTCTAACTTTGCAAGGAAAAGAACTAAGAACCCAGAATTCCAGATTCCAATCGTGAGAATAAAAGAACAAAAGAGATTTTCAAATGAGCACAACTCAGAAAATTGCTATTTACAGATACACTCTCCAAGAATTAGTAGGGAGTAGGTCGTGGGGGGGGTGGTGGCTCAGTGGTAGAACATTTACCTAGCATGTGTGAAGCCCTGAATTTGATTTCCATCACTGCAAACACACACACACACACACACACACACACGCGAATTAGTAATAAAAATACTCTAACAAGAAATAAAATGAGCTGGGGAAGAAGAGCACACCTGTAATCCTACTTATTGAGGAAGCTGAGGCAGGACGAACCCAAGTGTGAGGCCTGCCTCAGTAACTTAGTGAGACCCTGTCTCAAAAGGTAAAAACGAGGGCTGGGGCTGTGCCTCAGTGGTAGAGCACTTGCCTAGCACATGTGAGGCACTGGGTTCAATCCTCAGAACCACATAAAAATAAACTAAACATATGGTGTCCATCTACAACTAAATATATATATATATAAATTTTTTTAAGTGCTTCTGGGTTCAATCCTCAATACCAAGGAGGGAAGGATTGTCATGTCCCCAAAAGAAATGCTTAAGTCTTAATCCTGGTATCTTGGGAAGCAACCTTATTCAGAAACAGGGTCTTTCCAGAGGTGATATTGGGGTGGGAGGGTGGGCCCTAATTCAATATAAATGATGTCCTTATATAAATGGGAAAATTTGGACAGAGGGCGGGACCCACAGTTGAAAGGCTGACCTGGGGGTGGGGTGGGGTGGTCACCTGCGAGGAGGCATGGAGCAGAGAGAGACCAATGAGCTCAACAGAAATGTCCAAAATAGGTGTACATGTTGGAAATTTGATAGGTGACAGAGGCATGATGTCAGAGTAGTGGGGAAAGGGCTGGCCTTTGGTACAATTGGCTACATCTACCTAAATCCTTACCTCAGTGCATTTTCCAAAATAAATCTGCTATGGAATAACGATGGAAACATAAAATGAAAACTGGGGAATGTTTAGAAGAAATGACAGAATATACACAGATGACCTTGGGGTATGACAGGTCTCTAAAACCAGGAAGAGCAAAAGCCAGGATGGAACAGATAGACAAATAGGCGTGAATAAGCCCTAAGAACTTCTAAATAAATAAAGCTAAAACACAGAGTACAAACGAGGAGGAAACGTTCGCAATACATGGAACTGACTAAGAATTAGAATCAGAATCCAGAACGTACTCCTATAAATTAATAGTAATAAAAAAGGCACACAAGCCATTTAAAAAATGGGCAAAGGATATGAGCAAGCAACTCACAGAACACAAAATACCTAAGACCAATAAACTCACAAAAACATGTTCTATTTCCTTAGCAATCACAGAGTTACAAGTTAGAACAGTGTGATACTATCCTTTCAGGAAATGACTAATACTAACTCATCCACCAAGTCTCCGCCTAGATGTCCCCTCCTCCAGGAAGCCCTTCCTGACTCCTGGGCTGGGTTAGGCGCTGCTCCTAGCCCCATCCCATGGCCCTGTGGGGTCGCCCGTCCCTCCCACTCTGGTGGTCACTGTTTGGGACTCTCACTGGATGTAAGGCTCTCGGGAGGGGCAGCCCAGGGCCGTCCCTGGTCACCGCTGTCACTGGCACCGCCCCGCACAGCGCCGGGAACAGAGCAGGCGTTTGGGGAACGGTGGAATAAATGAATGATGGGGAAACCGAGGGCAAGTCAATGGCCGATTTGGGATTCAACTCCAAGTTTCTCTGTACTGAGAGGGGGCACCTAGTTTGATTTCCCGACATCCTTCTCCACTGAGCCCTGCCCGGAGCCCGGGAATACAAGAGGCGATCAACAGGGCACCCCAGGCCCTGGAACCCGCAGACCCACGCCACTTTCCTGGCCAATCCTCCAAGGTCCTCCAGGACCATAGAGAGCTGCGCAGGTCTGCCCCTCTCTATGCTCTCCCGTGGGGAGCAGTGAGACGGACCGAGGGCCAGAGAGGCCGGAAGTGCGGCAAACTGGGGCCGCGCTGGTCGCGCTGGCGGTGGGTCGCCTCGTTCCCCCGCCGTCTTCCCCTTTGGGCTCTGGGGCGAGCAGGTGAGTGGGTCCTCGTGGTGCTGAGACCCCAGGTAGGGGCGAGAGGGGCTGGAGGTGGAGGCCGCAGGTGGTGATTGGCAGCCGCAGAGGCCAACCTTTGCAATGTCTGCGACCCACCTAAAGGCGGCGTAGAACGTCCAGGTGCGAGCCTTGCGTGCCGGCCCAACGGCCCGCGGAGACAGCGGGGCGGGGCGCAAGGGGCCCGGGTGGCGAGGGGCGGGGCGAAGGAATCCGGGGACCGAAGGGGGCGGGGCGAGCAGAAGGCGGGTGGGCAGCGGCGCCCTTGGGGCTGGGCATTCTGCAACCTAGGGCTGTGGATATTTGGTACTTGACGTTTTGGGACACTGGAATTTTGGTGAGGGTGGGCGGCTGTGAATGGGGGTCCCTGCTGGGAAGGTGCTAATACAGATGCCAATATCTCAGTTGCTCCTGCTGCCACGTCTTCCCTTTCAGGCTCCTGATGGAACCAGGGAAGGACGAGGAGGGGGTGCCGCAGCCTGCAGGGCCACCCAAAAGGAAAAAATTTGTAATCCCGCTGGATGAAGATGAGGTCCCTCCTGCAGGGGTAGGACGAGGAGATGGGGGACGCCTGGGAATGGGAGTGGTGCTGGAAGGGATCTGTGGGGCCACACTGTGGATTAGGTGTGGGGGCCTAGGTGGCCTTGGGGAAACAGCCCTTTGTCCTGGGCAAGTCTCAGTTTCCCCGATCTGTAAGATGACAGAGCAGTTCTAAGAGGGAGCCAAGGCAGAGGCCAATAACTGGCAGCTAGCAGGTGGCCCCTTCATGTTTTATGTGGTCCAAACCCTATTTTTGCAAGAAGGAATTTGTGGCTGATAGGCCAACCCGTAGGACAGGGAGGGACCCACAGGGGTTCAGTGTTCCCTCCCTGGCCCCCGGTGACCCCCTTTCCTCCCCACAGGCCAAACCCTTGTTCAGATCCACACGGAACCTTCCTGCTGTGGAGACCTCTGCCCAGGAAGCCCCTCAGACCTATGCTGAGTATGCCATCTCACGGCCCCCAGGAGGGGCTGGAGCCCCGGGCCCCACTGGGTCAGAACCCCTGGCTGGAGAGACCCCCAATCAGGCCCTGAAACCAGGAACAAAGTCCAACAGCATCATTGTGAGCCCCCGGCAGGTGAGGAGGGAGACGGAGATTTCTGGGGGGAAAGCCGGTGATAGGATGGCCCCGGTGGTGGCAGAGTTCTAGCTACTTTGTTTCAGCAGCCTGTTCATTCATTCATTCACCAGCTCTGTGTGTTGAGGGTGGCCAACTCTGCTTGCTGGGGTTGTGACTGTGTATGTTCAGCTCTGTTTCTGTCCCCAGGTTTGCTCATTGAGCCAGGCATGGTGGTGCACAGCCTGTAATCCCAGCAGTTTGGGAGGCTGAGGCAGGAGGATCAGGAGTTCAAAGCCAGCCTCAGCAACAATGAGGCGCTAAGCAACTCAATGAGACCCTGCTTTTAAATAAAATACAAAAAAGGGCTGGGGATGTGGCTCAGTGGTTGAGTGCCCCTGGGTTCAATCCCTGGTACCCCCCCCCCTCAAAAAAAAAAAAAAGTATTAAAGGAGCACAGGCCTGAATTTGAATCCCTTTTCTTCCATGCAATAGCTGTGTGACCTTGGGCGAGTAACTCCACCCATCTGGTGCCTTTAAATGGGAATAGGGCACAGAGATGGAATCCATGCACAGAGATGCATAGAAAGTTAGGAATGCTACTTTCTGCTCTGGGGATGGAGTGGTGGGAAGGGAATAGGGAAAGTCTTTGCCACTGTTAGAGCCAGTGTACTTGGCAGGGAGAGTGGCTTGGGTACAGGTGATAACAGGACCCAAGCACTCATCACTTTTGTCACCAGAAAAATGACATCTGACTCACAATGAGATACTACTCTCCGCCTACCAAGAAGGCTGTCACCGAAATGATGGACAAGCTGGGTGCCATGGTGCAGGCCTGTGGATCCCAGAAACTCAGGAGGTTAAGGCAGGAGGATTGCAAGTTGGAGGCCAGCCTGGGCACCCTAGGGAGACCCTGTCTCAAAAAAAAAAAGCTACCGATGTGGCACAGGAGTTATTGCTCTGGGGTTCAATCACCAATAACAAATGTAAATAAATAAGTAAAAAATAAAAAGGGCTGGGATGTAGCTCAGTGGTAAAGCACCTGTGGTCCAATCTCCATACCACACACACAAAAAAGTCAACTGTAGAGCTGTCACATGACCCAGTGATTCTGCTTCTCGGTATGTACTCGTGAGAAATGAAAATATACGTCCACATAAAAACCCAGGTGGTGTCGTTCACAACAGCCAGCAAGAAGCCATCCAGATACCCTCCATTTGGTTCTTTTCTTTTTTTTTTTGTACCGGGGTTTGAACTCAGGGGCACTACACCACTGAGCCACATCCCCAGCCCTATTTTGTATTTTATTTAGAGACAGGGTTTCGCTGAGTTGCTTTGAACTCGAGATCCTCCTGCCTTAGCCTCCCCTGTCACTGGGATTACAGGCATGTGCCACCATGTCATGTGCAACATGACATTTCTGACACCAGATATCTGGAGGTTTCCTGGACAACAGGCAGTTCTCACGGGGACACCAACTGGGTGTCCTAAGGGTTAACTCAGTTCAGCCACTACCTCCTTGGAGACAGCATCAGATCTCACAGGTGTGTGTGTGTGTGGGGGGGGCCCAGGCCCAGGCCCCACCCTAACCTGCCTGACAAATAAATCAGAAGTTCCCTCGACCCCCTCCTTAGGTTCAATTAATTTACCCAAGCAGATCACAGATCTCAGAGAAATAATTTTTGTTTACTGGTTTATTTTATTTATTTTTTAAACATTTTATTAGTACCATATTCCTTTTTTTAATTTTTTTTTTGTAGTGTTAGATGGACAGAGTGCCTTGATTTTATTTGTTCATTTATATGTGGTGCTAAGGATTGAACCCAGTGCCTCACACATGCCAGGCGAGCGTTCTGCCACTGAGCCACAGCCCAGCCCCAGTTTACGGGTTTCTTAATGAGGAATATGGGAGAGGACCTAGGACCTAGGTGGATACCTGGATGAAGAGGTGCACGGGGCTGAGAAGGCAGGATGGACTCGCAGCCTCCCTGTGCTCTGAACACCACCCTCTGCAGCCATCAGGAAGCTCCCTGGACCCGGTCCTTTGAAGGCCTAGGGGGGCCTCACTGCACAGGCACGATGGGTGAGGTCACTGGCCACTGCTGATCACCTCTGCCCTCAGCCCTCTCCATCCCCTGAGTCGGGGTGGGGCTGAAAACCCCAGCCCTCTAGTCCCTGATTGGCTGCCTGGCCACCATCCCCCATGCTGGGGCCAGGAGGGGCCACCCAAGCACCTCATTGAAAACAAGATGCTCCCAATTCCCAGGAATTAGGAAGGATTTAGAGCTCCATGTCAGATGTTATCACTCCGGAAATTCCAAAGGTCTTAGGAGCTCGGTAGAGTCAGGAATCCAGGTCAGAGACCAAATGTCAGAACAAAAGTCTCTCTCAGTGCCCTGTCTGCGAGGACTTCAGGAGCTGCAGGACTGGACTCAGGGACAGAGACCAAACACAGATCTCTTTTTTCCTTCCTTTCTCTTTCTTTGTCGTACTAGGAGTTGAGCCCAGGGACACTGTACCACTGAGCTCCACCTCCAGCCCTTTTTATTTTGAGACAGGGATTTGGCAAGTTGCTTGCCAGGGCTGGTCTCCAACGTGTGATCCTCCTGCCTCAGCCTCCTGAGTAGCTGGGTTACAGACGTGCGCCACCCCACCTGGTCCAAGCACATATTTTTATCAGGTCACAGCATAAGACCATGTGGCCCTCATAGGCTCTTGATCTCTCCTGGTCCTTGCAGCATTCTCAACACTGAGACCCGTGCCAGGTGCCCACTCCATGAGTAGGTTTTAAATGGATTAATTAGGATTAGGATTTATCTTAATCAGAGAATTTCAGTCTTGGGCTGTAGCCCGTGTTCAGGGTAAAGTGTGAGGGGCGTTGGGAGAGAAGGGCCTGGCACTGAGCAGTTGCCAGTCTGTGTGGAGGGTGTCAGGCCATGGGGAGGAGCTTGGGCTTCCTCCTAAGGGTACTGGGGAGCCACGGTGGGGTTTGGAGTGGGGAAAAAGGGAGAGGCAGATCTGTGCTGCGCTGGGAGCGCAGCTCAGTGGTGGAACGCTTGCCTGGCCTGTGAGAAGCTCTGGGTTTGATCCCCAGCACCACAAGGGTCTCTCTAGCTGCCATTTGAAGGGTAGTCAGGAGGGAGCCATACTCGCGGGAGCCCAGAAGGGGCAAGGTGGGGACCTGGGCAGGGGCTGTGCAGGAGAGGAGGGGGGACATTCATGAGGGATGTTAGAAGGTCCAGGTCCCACCTGAGTCGGGGACAGAGGAGCATCCAGGACAAGCCTCCATCTCTGCACAGTATGGCTGTCTCAGATGAGGGCAGGAGGAGGGCCAGGTGTGGATGAGGCTGAGGTGGATGTCCAAGGGCCCCTGTCCTGCAGGCCATGGGACACATGGATTGAGGCTAGAGACAGACTGTGGGCCCTTTAGTAAAGGCCACTAGCTGAGATGCAAGCTTATAAGCCTCCTGCTCAGGAGGCTGAGGCAGGAGGATCTCAGCTTTGAGGCCAGCCTCAGAAACTTAGCAAGGACCTGTCTCAAAGTAAAAAAGAATTTAAAAGGGGCTGGGGGTGTAGCTCAGTGGTAGAGGGCTTGCCTAGTGGGGGGGGGGGGGCCCTGGTTCCATGCACAGTACTGCAAAAGAAAATAAATGAATGGTTGCAGGCAGGCCGACCTGCCCAGGCTGGGGAGGAGGAGAGTTGTGGGGGGAGGTGGGGAGGTGGTAAAGACCCAGGTGTGAGGTGTGAGGTGGAGGCAGGTGGAGGGTGGAGGAGGGGGAAGAGGTGGCAGAGGGACCCTGCCTGGCCGCTGGCCCTGGTCCAGGGTCATCCTGTGGACGGCTCCTGCTCTTCCTCCCTCCCAGAGGGGCAACCCCGTGCTGAAGTTCGTGCGCAATGTGCCCTGGGAATTTGGTGAAGTCGTCCCCGACTACGTGCTGGGCCAGAGCACCTGTGCCCTCTTCCTCAGGTGAGCTCCGGGGCTTGGGGCACTGGCTGCCCTTCAGGGAGGGCTGCCCGGGAGGCCTGGAGTGTTGTGACCTAGCATTCTGGGCTATTCCACAGGAGACCTCTGCTCAGTCCTGCTGGCCCTGGGCCTAGTGTGGCCCTGTGTTGGGGGAAGGAGTCCTGGCTTGGGGGGGCCCAGAGCAGAGAGAGCAGGGCCTGGACCCCTGGTCTGAGGCTGGGCCTGGGGCCCTGGGCATGAGGGAGGAGGGCTAAGGCCTGAATTCCTGGGTCTGAGGGAGGAAGGTCAGGGTCACTCATGTCCCAGACATACCTGGTGAGGTGACAAGAGATGGATTTCTCTAAGCTCTATCTCAGTTAAACAAGTTCCCCTTCCAGCCTGGGCCCCTCTGCGGATGGATAGACAGAGGAGATGAAACTCCCTGATCCTGTCCTCCCTGCAGGCTGGAGGGTAACAGGCGCTGGGGACGAGGCTCTAGTCCTAGGTGGAGAAGCCCACTTCTGTCCGTGCTCTGCGGCCAGCTGGGTAGCATCCCCTGGCCCTGTGCATGTACTCTGGGGTGCCTGCTCCTGTCCTCCTGAAGCCCAGGTTTCCTCCCTGCTCAGTGAAGAAGCCAGGGGTCCAGCTGCCAGGAAGCCACGGCCAGGCTGCCGTCCTTGACACTCGCCTTCTTTGCAAGCCACTTATGCTGCGCTCATGGTGCCTGGTGAACAGGCCATGGGGCAAGGAGTGCAGAAGGGGTTTCTGGGTTCTCAGGGAGACAGGCCCCAACCCACCATCTCCCCACCCTGCCAGCCTCCGCTACCACAACCTCCACCCAGACTACATCCATGAGCGACTGCAGAGCCTGGGGAAGACCTTCGCCTTGCGCATCCTGCTGGTCCAGGTGGACGTGGTAAGCAGGGTCACACGCCTCACCCTCCCCTACTGTGAAATAGGTGGTTTCGAGCCTCGCCATTATGAAGTGGACTGTTGAATCTTTTCCAAGAAGAAAGGCATGTTAAAACCTCAGTAAGGCCGGGAGTGATGGTGTGCGCCTGTAATCCCAGCAGCTCCGGAGGCTGAGGCAGGAGGATTGCAAGTTCAAAGCCAGCCTCAGCATCTTAGTGAAGCCCTAACCAACATAGTGAGACTCTTAAAATGAAAAATAAAAAGGGCTGGGGATGTGGCTCAGTGGTTAAGCGCCCCTGGGTTCAATCCCCAAGGAGCGCTCAGTGAGGAACCATTTTTCATATCTGAGATTGACGCAGGTTACTAACACCCTGTGTTGGCAGAGAGGTGGGACCATAAGATGATCTGTCTCCTTCACACCCCATCAGCCAGTCCCAGACCTCTGCCTCCTAAATATCTCAAGTCTACTTCGTCCTCTGTCCCTGCAGTCCTTACCCCAATCTAGTCCCTCGTCTCCTTCCTGGTTTTATGGCCTCACTCTTGACCCTTCCTGTCCTTACAGTGGCCAGAGAGGTCTTCCTAAAGAATACACCCCAGGTCAATGCTCCCTCCCTGCACTCTTCCCCAAGGCTCCCGGGTCCCCAGGGCCTTTCCGTAGCCCTGAGGCCTTGCACCACCACTGGTCCCCAGCCCTCCAGGCTGCAAGCTCCCCTTCGCCACCTCCTCCTCAGTACATCCCCAACAGAGCGCGTCTGAGTTCTCCCACCCTCTCCCCTCCTTTCTGTGCCTGGATTTCCCATCCTGCCGCCTGTGCTTCCTTTTCCCAGCCTCCTCCTCCTCCAGGAAGCCACTCATGACCACTCCAGGTCCTCATTCTCTGGGGACAGGTCTGTTCCCCTCATTAGACTAGGAGTCCAGGAGGGCGGAGCCCTGTGAGTCGCTGCTGGGTCCTAGTGCTGCCCAGCGCAGGGTCAGCACCCTGTGGGGGCTTGGAGGGTGAGTGAAAGGCTCTCCCCACCTTGAGCTCTGTGTGTCCAGACGGGAAGTCCCGCTTTCTGCCAGCTCCCTAATCCTGACTTTCTTCTCTGCCAGAAAGATCCCCAGCAGGCCCTCAAGGAACTGGCCAAGATGTGCATCTTGGCCGACTGCACTCTGATCCTAGCCTGGAGGTGAGACTGGGCCCCGCTCCCCTCCCCCACCTCCCTGCCACTCAGCCTTCCCTCCTTGTCCCTGGACACCCTGTGTGAGCCTGGTCCAGGCACTGCCTCCCTCTGGGCCTCGGTATCCTCAGCTGTGCACCGAGGTCCTCACTTCTCTCTTGGGGAGGTGCGGGCGCAGCCTGATGTGGGTCCCATGCTCTGGATAGCGTTAGGTTTCTGAGTTAGACGTGAAATGTGGCCTGGGCACCTAAAGACCATTTACATTAGCTTTCCAATGGGAAAATGGATCCCTTCCTCACACCATAAGCAGAATTAAACCCTAAAAATGAGTTTTATAGCTCTTTTTCTATGTGTGGCGTTGAGGATGGAACCAGGGTCTCATGCAAGCACATGGAGTCGCTCCTTCCAACCCTGTAGCTTTAAACTCAAAAAGAAAAACTACAATAAAAATTTTATGATTCTTTTTTTTTTTTTTTTGGTACTGGGGATTAATCCCAGCAGCACTTAACCACTGAGCCCCAGCCCTGTTTTATTTAGACAGAGTCTCACTGAGTTGCTTAGAGCTTCACTAAGTTGCTGAGGCTGCCCTTGAACTTTCATCCTCCTGCCTCAGCCTCCCTAGCCACTGGGATTACAGGCATGTGCCGCTATGTGATGAATTTGTGATAGCCCAGGAGCCACTGTGAAGTCCCTAGTCTACCTCAGGGTTTGTTCTTTTCTTGTGCATTCTGTAGGATTAGACAAAGTTTTTTCATCCTGTTAAACCTACAGAATTTCCCATAAGAGAATGTCCCCAAATTGGAGCCTTTTGGATACCAGTGAAAGCACAGAGTGAATTGTCCAAAGCATTTCTTGGGGGACTTGCAGAGTGGCCTGCAGCAGGCCCTGGAGATGGACGTTGACAGCCAGAGGCTCTGGGTGGGGGAGTGTGTCCACAGCCAGGGCTCAGGGCTGCCCTGATGAGGGCCTGAGGCTCTGGCTCAGGTCGGGCCAGTTTCTTTCAGTGTTTTTGAGGCAACAACATCAACACCCTTATCTGCACCTGGGAATGTTCCAGGCCTTCTGCTGTCAGGTCACAGAGGTCAAGGCTTTCTGTGATCTTCGGTCAGGACACAGCAGGATGGTGTGTGATACCTTCGTGTCCTTCCTGGGTGTATCATTAGATGGACTCACTGCCCTAGAATGCCTGTGTCCACCTGTCCATCCCTCCCTTCCCCCACCCACCCCTGGCATTCTCGGATCTTGTTACAGTCTGTTGGCCCAGTGCCTGTGGCTGGGCTCCTGTGGCCTCTGTAGCCTTCCTTCCCTCAGCAACAGATACCTGTGGCTCCTTCACGTCTTGCTGGTGTTTTCAGCTCCCTTCTTTCTGTTTCTGTTTTTGCTCTGCTGGAGAGAACCAGCAGCTCCTGTTGCCAGGTGCTGCTCCACCTGCCTTCCCATCCTTCCCGTTTTCTCTGGATTACTTAAAATACCTGATACAATGTAAATGCTGTGTAAATAGTTGTTTACATAAAATTCTATTGTTTAGGGATTATGGCAAGGACAAAACAGTCCGCACATGCTGGGTACAGAGGCCGGCATGGGGGGGGGCCCAGCTGCGCAGAGCACATTCCAAGGAACTGTGGTGGCTCCTGAGGCCACTGCACTACTCACTGCTGTTTCAAAGGGCGGAAAAAAAAAAAAGGCCAGCCTTTCCTGGTGCTCAGAACCCCGAGTTACTCTGCCCTGCCCACGGGACCCTTTTTATCAATTTTAAAAGCAGTGTTTCAGGCTGGGCTGCAGCCCCAGTGCAGAGCCCTCGCCCAGCCTGAGGGAGTCTGGATTCTGTCTCCAGCACCACAAAAGCAAACAAAGCTCTTCAAAAGCTCATTTTCCTCTGTGTCAGGAAGCTGAATGTTTAGTAGGCTGTCTTCATGCTGCACTTGAGAAAATAAACTCAGTTTCCTGATTCCCTCCCTCTCATGCCAGCAAAAGGCAGAGCAGAATGCCAGCCTTCCTTCCAAAAGACTAATATTTCTTTTTCTTTCTTTTGCACTGGAGACTGAACTCAGAGGCACTTCACCACTGAACCACATCCCCAGCCTTTTTATTTTTTTATTTTGAGACAGGGTCTTGCTAAGTTGCTGAGGCTGGGATCGAACTTGCTATCCTCCTGCCTCAGCCTCCTGAGCCACTGGGAGTAAAGGCGTGCACCACTGCACCCACTAAGAGCAAACATTTCTTTTTTTTCAAATATATTTTTTAGTTGTAGTTGGACACAATACCTTTATTTTATTTATTTTTATGTGGTGCTGAGGATTGAACCCAGCGTCTCTCACATGCTAGGCAAACGCTCTACCGCTGAGCCCAACCCCAGCCAACATTTCTTAAACAGGCTTCTAAGAGCCAGGCCCTGATGGTGGACATGGCAGTGACTTCTTTTATCATTACAGTCTATCACCCAACTTTACAGATGAGGAAACAGAGGTCCACAGAGATAAAATCACTGGCCTAAGGTCACCCAGGTTGGAAGTGAGGCCTGAGCCCCAGCCTGTTGGGCTTCCAGGCTCTAGCCCTGAGCCAGAGGAGAACCACAGAGATCCCCAGATCCAGCAGGGATTCTGGCCAGGGCCATGGGCCATGGGGGAGCTGAGAACTTCCATTTTTGCATATGTTAGCGTTTGGAATTTACAGCATTAGCAATCACGACTGTGAAATGGAGCCCATCTAGAACATGATGGCCCTCACTTGGCTGATGTGTGTCCTGTCACCTCAGCCCCGAGGAGGCCGGGCGCTACCTGGAGACCTACAAAGCCTACGAGCAGAAGCCTGCGGACCTTCTGATGGAGAAGCTGGAACAGAACTTTGTGTCTCGGGTGAGGCCTCCCTCCCTCCCTCCCTCCAGGCACCTCCCATGCCTGCCTGGGTCTCCCTGCAGCTCCTGGGTGGCCAAACTTCAGTTCTGGTCCCAAGGCGAGTCCATCTGGGCTCTCCCTCCCTACCCTGTCCCCCTCTGCCTTCCCACCCAACGGCTCCCAGCGTGGTCTTCTAAGCGTAACACTGACCCTGTTCTCCCCAGCTCCCAACCCTGCTATGGCTCCCCAGTGCCCTGAGGGAAAGCCCGGCCTTGCAGTGCTGTGCAGGGCCTGTGTCCTCCCGGGCCTTCCTCATCCCTCTGAGCTTCCATATTGTTCCCTCCACCCAGTAACCTGCCTCATCCCATAGGGCATCCCAGCTCGGATGTTCCCTCCTCCAGGAAGCCCTCCCCAACCCCAGCCAGCAGAGGTTCTCCCTGTGCTCCCGTCCCAGGCCTGCCCACCTATCTCCCCACTGGACTTCAGCCCAGGAGGGCAGGGCTGGAGGTGACTCCAAGCCTGTCCTGTCCCCAGCACCCCCAGCACTCAGTAGACACTCAGGGAGTATTTGCTCAGTGGACTGTCAACTCTGGGTTCCAGTGAGGGACCCTGCCACTGGTGCCTTCCCTGGAGGTCCTCCTCGGAAGAAGTGACAGCAGAAGGGCCTGGGTCAGTTGGATCCTGCTGGCCACAGCTCCTGCATCCCAGCCTCCTCCTCCAAGCCTGCACAGCAGTTCCAAACCCATCTCCTGAGGCAGGGAGGAAGTGACTTCCCCAGGTCCCACAGCTAGGGACTGGCAGGGCTGGGGTCTGAACCAGGGCAGCAGCCAGTACACCCAGGCACACGGCTGTCACGGTGCTGGGGTGGGGCAGCATCTAAGCTGCACCCCAATCCATGTCCACAGACACCAGAGTCTTCTGGGTATTCCTGAGAATCTAATTTGCCCAAAAATGGAGGCCAGAGCGGTCAGCTCCCTTACCCTGGCTCATGCAGGGACAGGTGGTGGTGGACTGGTTTTGTACCAACTCCTTCAGATAAGCAGGATTGATCTCACGTGTCCCACACCCTTGGCTAGTTGGGATCACTCTGATATGGCCTTTTAATCAGTCCTCCCCCAGAAAAAAATAAAACATTTATTGAGAGCCTCTTGCACAGTAGACAGTCTGGGGATCCAGCAGTGGCCCAGCCCTGCCCTCCGAGCTGTCTTACCGGGCTTTCTGCTGCTTCCTTCCAGGTCACTGAATGTCTGACCACCGTGAAGTCAGTCAACAAGACGGACAGTCAGACCCTCTTGGCCACTTTTGGAGTAAGGACCAGCTGCCCTGCTCTGCCAGGCGCTTCCCCTCCTTCCCTTTCCTAAGAAGCCCACACCCTGCTGCATCCCAGTCCCCTGCATTCCTCGCGTCCCCCCAGCAGCACCCAAGGCCCTTCACCAGCTGGGCCAGGGTGGGGTCCAGTGTTCACCTGCCCTGACCCTTTGCCTCCACCCTCCCAGTCCCTGGAACAGCTCATGTCTGCATCACGGGAAGACCTGGCCTTGTGTCCAGGCCTGGGCCCCCAGAAGGTAAGTGTGCTGGGAAGGGACTTGAGGGGAGGGACCCTACACCAACCAGACCTCGGATCCCAGTGTTCAAAAGTCTCCAGAGGCCCAGCAACCATCTGCCTGTATTTATTTTAATTTTTTAAGTTGTAGATGGACAGAGTACCTCTATTTATTTATTTATTTTCATGTGGTCCTGAGGATGGAACCCAGGGCCCCACACATGGTAGGCAAGCGCTCTACCACTGAGCCCCAGCCCCCACCTGCCTGTGTTGCAGATGGCGAGACCTGTCCAAGGGGATGGGGACTAGCTGAGCCTCGCACAGCCAGTCTAGGGGACAATCCAGATGGGCTGCTTCCCTCCCATCTCCCCGCCCTGCAGGCTGGGAGAAAAAGCCAACACCTCACTCCACGAGCAGCAAACACGTGGCCCCTTTAATGAGTGGTTCCTTTCGCTCCCCACCCCAGGCCCGCAGGCTGTTTGATGTCCTACATGAGCCCTTCCTCAAAGTGCCCTGATGAACAGCTGCCACCTCCAGCGTGACAATAAAGCATTCTCTGGGGCCAGGCTCCTGCTGGGTTGCTGGGGCAGGTTCGGGATTCGCCTGGGGTCTGGGTTCGTCGCTTTGCTCACCTTCTGATGCCCTGGGTGGTTTTGGTTCCTCAGTTTCCCTGGGGGAGGGCTACAGGCTCCTGCTGAGGCTTCCTCTTGTGCTTCTTCTTCTTTTCTGGTCCTGTGGGAGCAGCCTCCCTGGGCTCCAGATTTAGCAGTGGCCCTGGAATCTCCTCCTGGGGCACCCCCTCTGGCATCTCGCCGCCTTCCTGACCCCGCGGTTTCTTCCAGGTCAGTCCTGGTGCTGCGCTGACCTCAGGCTCCACTGTCCCCCATGGTGGCTCAGTCATGTCGGTCTCTGGCTCTGTCATTTTGTGCCCCTTTTCTCTCTTCTTCTTTTTGGTAGATGCTGGAGCTACCTGAGGCTCAAGGTCACCTGGCAGCTCAGACTCTGCCACCTCTGTCGCCGGCTCCAGCATCACACTTTGCCACTTTTCTTTCTTCTTTCTCTTCTTGGAGGACACCAGAGCTGCCTCGGCCTGAGGCCTGTCGTCGTCACCTGGCAGCTCGGGCTCTGCTTTCTGGGGACAGAGCACCAGAGGCGGCCTCTCTGGCTCCCCAGCCTCAGCCCCCGACTCCGCCCCTGCGCTCTGCCTCTTTTCTTTCTTCTTCTTTTTGGGGGGCAGTGGGACGGCTTCCTCCTGCAGCTCCACCTTCACCTGTGGCTGAGGCTCGGCCACCGTCCCCTCCACCAGCTCCACTCCTGCCTCTTTTTTCCTCTTCCTCTTCCTGCCTGGGGAAGGGGCTGCCTCTTCAGGAGGCTCTGTTTTCACCGCCAGCTCTGGCTCGGCCATCTGTCCTTCTGGTTCTGGCACCCCGACCTGTGGGTCAACTGCTTCTGCCCCTTTGGGCTTCTTCCCCTTCTTCGTGGTGGGTGGGACTAGGACTCCCAGAGGCCCCAGCAGCTCAGCTGTGGGCTCTATCATTGCAGGCTCCGCCACCTCTGTTGGCAGCTTTTTCTTCTTCTTCTTCCCAACATCTACTTTGAGGGACCTCAGAGTTGGGTCCACCTCCAGGGCCTCATACCCATTCACTGCCTCCTGGGAGGCCTCGGCCTCTGGCATCTGCTTCTTCTTCCTCTTCCCCAACACAGATGGCTTCAGTGCCAGAGTTGACCCAGGCCCTGTGACTGGTGGTTGCCCCCCAAAGGCGCAGAATCGAGGCCTCAGGCCAGGGGGGATCTGTGGTGGGGGGTTCATTGGGATGGGCTGCAGAGGGGTCCCTGATAGGGATTTTTGGGGACTCTCAAAGATCCTTAGGCTGCCCTGGGGGGTCGGGGCACAAGTAAGTCCACCGCCTGCATGGGCTGAAGGAGCCAGCAGGGTTGCTTCTCCTGCCCGGGGACCACTGCTGCTGAGGACCTGATAGCGCAGCCGCTGTCCTGCCAACTTGCCCTTCACTGTCTGGGAGCCAGAGAGAGGCACCAGCCGCCCGTTGAGGCTGAGGGGAGAAAGGGAGGGGAGAACCTTGGTCAGATCTGTTTGTAAGTCACTGGATTCCTCAGAAATGCCCCTCCAAACACCCTCCAAGTGCAGCCTCTGGAGTGGGGAGTCTTCCCGGGAGGTGGGTGGGACCACTCACCATTCTGGAGCAAAGTTTGCAGGGGCCTGGATAAGCCACAGCTGGGTATCTGGGCCAGACAGCTCCTCCAAGGAGAAACGGGGTTCTGAGGCTGGGGGTATCGCTGTGTAATCGGGGGGACAAGAGAACCGAGCAGCACCTGCGGGAAGAGAGGAAACGGGGATCTGTCGACATCCAATCCTGAAGGGCGCCCACCAATCCATTAGTCCCAACCTCCCGAGTGTCCCGTTCCCTCCCCGTCAATCCCGTGCCCACCTCTTCTCCAGGGGCGTCCCCACACCACCCCTGGGGGCGCCCTTCTTTCCACGGGTATTCCCCCCAGTATTCGCCGTCCACATCCTGGCGCCCTCGTTGGAAGGTTCGCTCTCCCCGTCTCCGGGATGCCCCGTTTTTCGCCAGAACTTTCCCGGGCACCCCTTTCTCCCCGCCCCCAGCCCCGGTCCACACGCCCGCTCACCGGCGGACGGGGTCGCCGCCATCCCGAGCCCCCGGCGGAGCGCAGACCCAGCAGCCGACTTTGAGCCGACCCCGCCGCCGACCACGTGGCTCGAAGTGGGCGGGGCCTCTTCCCGAAGTGCCCAAGTGGCGTGGGAGCGTGGGGGGTGTCGCTCGGCGCCCGTTTGCTCCGTTGGGCAGAAATGAGGGACGTTTCCACGTGTATAGAGCAGACCAGCAAGGAATGACTATATTACCAAAATCTCCAGAAAGAGGGTGGTTCACTGGGCCGCGGGAGTCAGTGCCGCGCCAAGTCTCGGCCAGCCTCCCCCACACTATCTCAGATATGCATTATTCCGACACGGCCTTAAAGGGGCAGTCGCAGAGATAGGCTCTAACTCTTAAAGAGACAGGAAGATCGATTGGACTGAGATTCCTAAAAGAAGCAGGTAAGGATCCTGGGTGGCAGGACTGTGCTTGTAACGTTAGAATCTCCTCTGGAGAAGCTTGGATGCCTTGGAAACTTAGGAATTAAGAGAAAATTCGAAAAATGGAAGAATGGGGTAATTTTCCCAGCAGGGCTTGAAGTAACAGCTAGGGGGCGGGGCTTCTGGATTCTGGGGTAGCGGGAAACACAAGAGGAGGAGCCTGAGGGTCTGGGGGGCGGAGCCTATGAAGCGGGACTCGCGTGGAACTGGAACTGTGCGGACGAAGGGGCGGGGTTCGTGGATCAAAGCAGATTCGTAAATGCTCTAGGGGATCAAGTCTAGTGCTTGAGAAATATCCCCTATGGCTTTGAGTAAGGGTGAGGGGACAGAAGTTCTCATTGTCGACCCCTCCTGCCCCGAGGCGCCTATAAACAGCCGCACGTGGGTGCGGATTTGGGGGACATGCCCACGCCCCTTCCCACCAGAACTGCACCGCGTGGGGCGGCGGGTGGAGCTTCGGGACAGTGGCTAGACAGGGTGACCCGACTGCATTCCTGGCCAGTGTGTCAGCGCCGCTTCCCGCCCCCTCTGCGGAGATTTTGGATCCAACTCCAGACATGGGGTTCCCCCTTCCTCTGCGGCTTTCCAGAGGGTCAAGGGGAATGGGAAGTGTTCTTTCCGCCTGGGATCTCCAAACAGTGACCCGCGTGTGGGAGAGAGAAACTTTGGGGAGCCACCCCTTATGGGCTCCGAGACTACAATTCCCAGAGGATCCGAAGCCTCGAGGCGCCGGACGTCGGTCGCGCCTGCTACTGGGGATTGTAGTTTAGCCCTATTGGGCTCTTGCTGGAAAATCCTGGGATGTTCATTCCGCCGCTTTTCACCCACCCGGAGATTGAAATTCAGAGACCCAAGGGGTTACAGATTTGGCCTTAAATCTGTGGATTGGAGCCTGTGACTTTCCCTATGCTCCAATTTTCCACCCCTTTAGTGGCGTCCAAATCTTCACTCAGGAAAGGGGAAACTGAGCCTGGAGGGGTGAGGAAGGGCCCAGGAGTTCGTCTTCTGCTTCTACCTGAGGTGGGAGTCTCGACCCTTCTGTGTCTTGCTGGCCGGATCACCTTTGGCTTCTGGGCCTTGCTCTTCCTGTCTGTGAAATGGATTTAGAGTGAATATATATGGGAATGTCTGCGTCCTGCCCCTCTGGGACTACAAGTCCCAGGGTGCTTGACGCGATCTCTGCCCGCCCCCCCCCCCGCGGGGACCCGCCTCCCTCCAGCAAGAGTCACGTCGTCTAACCTGTTCCGTGCGCCTGCCCCGCCCCGTCCTCGGCTCCCAGCAGCTGGAGCTGGAGCCGGAGGAAGACCCCCTGGTGCCAGGATCTGCCCCGGACCCGTGAGTTTCACCCTTCAGGGGTCCAGCGACCCCTAAAGAACCAGACACCATGTCCCTGGGGGAGGGAAGTAGGAGGGGACTTGGACGCCGGGTCCCAGGGCCAATTTGGGGTGCGCAGATGCCTGGGTGCCTGGAAAAGAGAACTAGGATACTAGGATGCCTGAATTACTGGGTGAAAGGAGAAGGGGTTTGGATGTCTGAGTTCTTGGAATGGAGGACTCAGGTCCAAAGGGGTCCAGTGAGACATTCAAGGAGGGATTCCTGAGTCTCTCGAGTTGCGGACTTTTGGAAGTCCGAGTCTTTGGGAAATATTAGAGCCTCAGATCCCTGAATCTTAGGCAGAAATGGGAGGCTTGGACGAGGGTGGAAAGAGTGGTCACTCTACCGTCGTCCTCCGGCTGCCTTCTGGACTGAGCCTCTAGGTCTCTGAGCAGAATTAAGGGTGTGTCGGAGATAGTGGAAACTGGTCTCTGAAATAGACCAGGACAGGTACCCTGGGTCCCTCTGGAGGGTATGCCCCTGCCCTCCCTGCACTTCCAGCTCTAGGGTGGGGGCAGGGGGGTGAGAAAACTGGGCAGGTTCTCCAATCTCCCTTGTGCCGCTGAGCGAACCCCAACATGTCATTAACTGAGGCGTCAGACCTGCCTAACCAGAGGAGGGACGTCAGCCCCAGGGAGCCCCCTGGTGGGGGTGGGGGAGCCTCCTATTGCCCCATGGGGATGGGAAACTTCTGGGGGTTTGCAGAGGTCATTCTAGAGCCTAGGGCAGAATTCCAGAATGGGGGTTTGGTCTGCCACGGAAGCATTGCACGAAGAAGAATTGGTAAACTGAGGCTTAGAGGTGACAGCAGCGTTAGGGGGTCAGGATTTGACCTCTTCCTTCCGGTTATGGCAGCTCTCTGGGGTGGGGGGCAGGATTCCACCAGATTGTCTAGCTAAACTCCCTCCCAGAGCTCCTTGTCCTGACCCTGGAGTGAGAAATGTCACCTCTACTCCCACAGTATGACCTGAGGTATTGTGAGAGATAAGGGAGGGATAGAGGCTAATTCTGGAGGTGTCTGTCCTTGAGGCCGGGGGAGGGCAGGGGCAGGCAGACACCTCCCTCTTTCTCTCCCCCTTTTCTCCACCCCTATGCGTCATGTGGGGGGGGATTAAACAGGGAGGGGGGTGTTTGCTAATGTCTGGGCTTGAAGGGCATTTGGTGGCAGCCTGAAATAAAATTAAAAATAATAATTTGGCTGCCAAAACGGCTCATGTCATGCCAGGCTCAGGTCTGGCAGGTAGACAGGACGGACCCTATTGTCTAGAGAAGTCTCAGGCAACCTCCCAAAAGTCGGACCTGGGCGTTACACCATGAAGGATGCTTGCTGACCCAGGAAAGGACTCCTCCCTACCAGTGGGGAAATTGAGGCTGGAGAGTGGACACTGGCTCTTGCCAGCTTCTGTCTGGAATCTTTCAGGGCTCTCCCTGTCCCAGTCCCCAAGTTACTGGGCATGATCACGGGGCAGAACTCAGGAATGTACAAGAGGAGTTTAGAGCTCTGTGATCCTTAGGCAAAGAAGCTGAGACCAGAGGCATTGAAACTTAGGACTTTTAAAATCTCAGAGTTGAAAGGGCCCTTTTGGGAGAAAAATGACTCAGGATCTTGAGCCCTCACTTGGCCTGACCCTGTGTTATCTTAATGAACCACCAAGAAAGGCTGTTGATTTAGAATTCTGGATGTGTGAAATTTATTTCAACACTGTAGATCAATCAGGTCACCCGATCCTCACACCCTTTTGAGGTGAAAGTATTAACTCCCCCATTATACCCAGGAGGCAACAGGTTCAGAGAAGCTAAATATCTACTGGAGGCAGAGGCTCAGAGAGGGGAAGTCCCTAGCCGGTTCCAGAGAGGGGAAAATAAGCCCCAGCCCAGGACAAAGCTGGAGGAATCTCATCTAGGTGTTCCCAGCCTATTCCGACACCCTGATTTCGTCCTTACTGAGGACGATTCCTCCAGGAAGCCCACAGGATCTTTAACCCCAAAGAACCTGGCTGGGGTGCAGAGGGGGCGTGGAGAGGAGAACCCAGGGGAGGATACCTGGGGGTGGATGGGAGCCCGCGGGACGGGGAGCCGAAGTTGGAGGGCTGCCCGGGGAAGAGGACCTGAGGGCGGAGGGCAGGGTCAGGAGCCTGGGAACAGAGACGCGGCCCGCGCCCCGCCCTCGCGCCCCGCCCGGCCCCCTCCTCTGCCCCGGGAGATGAGCACCTGCCCGGGCCCGCCGCGCATTCCCGGGCTCTGAGCTCAGGCGCTGTCCGCCCTCCCGGCCGGGATCGGGCGGTGACAGTGCGCCCTCTGGCGGTCCCGGCACCAGCCTCCAGGACAACCCCACACCCATTGCTGGCATTTCCTTAGGATGTCAGCATGGAATCTGAGAACCTTAGACTTTCGGAAATCACGCAGTCCCCCAAAAGAACCGCTGACTGTCGAATGCTGGCACTGAAGGCCGCACAAAATTGATCGTTTTTATATTTTGACAGACGCAGTGATTCCTGGGTATCCCTGAGATTCTAAAAGTCCCGAGTTTTGATTCCTATAGCCTCTACTTTCTGAGGCCTCAATTCCCAGAGCCCTGAATTCCTACTGCTCCTTCAGACCAGATGGATCCTCACAATAGTCCTAAGAGGTGAAGAGTTATTTATCCCCATCTTACAGGTTAGGAAAAGGAGCCACACTGGCCAGGGTCTGAACGAGATCCTGCCATATTTGAAAGAAGGGAGTCTGGCTCCTTTCTTGTGCTTTTATCTGCTGTAGACTTCTAAGACAGTGTGATCTCTAGAAAGTGGAATAGGAAGACAATTCTGGGCTAGCCACATTAGAGAATTCTAGAATGTTCCAAAGATAGAATCTTGGATTTAGAACTTGCCAACAATTCTCAAGTTGAGGGACTCCGTCTCTGTAGGACCGTAATTACAATCTCAAGTTCCCTACATCTTCAGAATGGAGGCCTCTTAGAGAAGGAATGGGCTTCTTAGGATAGCCTTCTCCTTCTACTATGGGGAAACCCAGGCCCCAGAGTGGAGAGGACTCATGGCCCAAGGTCACACGCTCCCACTACACCCAAATGAGCCGCCAACTCTAACAGGTTCTGTTTCCGTGGTTTCCCAGACAGAGGCTGCTATTGGCATGCCACAGCCCGCCCTGCTACCCACATCTTATGGCCAAAGCTAAGAGGTCAATGTAGCAAGGAGGTGACAGGGCTGTCAGGCGTGGTGGCTACCATGGGGATGGAGATGGGGCTGGCTTTACCGGTTCCTGGTGGCCTCCCACTGGGCCAGTGGCCACAACTGCCCATCCGCTGCTAGCCACCTCCCTGTTTCTCCTCCTAACAATGGGTCACTGTGAGCCAGGCCTCCCCTGGATGGGGACTCTTGAGGAGAAGAAACAGCAATCACTGCCCTCTGGGACTCCTCCAGTCTCGTGGAGAAGACACAGAATTAACATGTTAGAACCTGATATGAAACCCAGTTCTATAGACTTCTTGCAGGGTGACCTTGAACAAAGATTTCTTTTTTTTTTAAATTTTTTTTTTTTTTAGTTGTAGATGTACACATTCCTTCATTTTATTTATTTATTTTTATGTGGTGCTGGGGATTGAACCCAGTGCCTCACATGTGGGAGGCAAGCTCTCTGCCACTGAGCCACAACTCCAGCCCATTGAACAAAGATTTTTAAGCTTAGTAGGTGCTTTTGACCATGGAATGAGGTTTGGCGTGCAATGCATTTAGCACAGTGGCCCTGCAGTCAATTTTGGTGCTGGGGATTGAACCCAGGGCCTTGTGCATGCGAGGAAAGCTCTCTACCAACTGAGCTATATCCCCAGCCCCTCAATCTTGTTTTTATTTCATTAAACTGAAAGTAATGGGTATGGACTCTGGGATGTATTAGACAGTGCAATTATTATTTTAAATAAATACCTCTAACATCTAGCACAGCATCTTCTGGTGCCTAGCTGGCATTCAGCACAGTAACTGATAGTTGCAATTTTATTCAATGTTCATTGGCATATAGTAGATGATCAATAGATACTTGTTGAAGGAATTGATGCATTTTTATATTAATTTTTTTTAGTTGTAGATGGACAGCATTTCACTTATTTATTTTTATGTGGTGCTAAGGATCGAACCCAGTGCCTCACACGTGCAAGCATTCCAGAACTGAGCCACAGCCCCCCGCCTTTTTTAGTTGTAGTCAGACACAATACCTTTGTTTTATTTATTTTTTTATGTGGTGCTGAGGATGGAACCCAGTGCCTCACACGCGCTAGGCGACTGCTCTACTGCTGAGCCACAATCCCAGCCCCTTGATGCATTTTATTAGGGCAGAGATAAAGAGATGAACAAGGAACCGCTAAAGAGAGAAAAGTGTCTGAAGCCTTCTAGAACCGATTTGGACTTCTAGGTAGTGAGTGAGTGGACTGGGCTTTGAAGGAGTGGACATTTCCCATCTGGGAACTGGAAGGGTAAAGCACATCTGGCGGAAGGAACGAAGAGTAGAGGCGCCCCGCGGTCCCCGAGGGTGAGGTCTGAGACCGCTCCCCCACCACGCAGGCGCCCCGCTCCGGCCGGCACCATGGACAGCGAGGCATTCCAGAGCGCGCAGGACCTTCTGGACCTGAACTTCCAGTGTGAGCTGGGATCGGGGGCGGGGCTTGCGGGGGCAGGGCCCTGCCAGGAGGCCCGGTCCTGACCCTCATTCCCGCCTGCCCAGCGCTGGCCATGAAGCACATGGACCTGAAGCAGATGGAGCTGGATACGGCGGCGGCCAAGGTGGACGAACTGACTAAGCAGCTTGAGTCACTGTGGTCGGACTCGCCAGCTCCTCCTGGCCCGCAGGGCGGAGTCCCCCCTAGGGTGAGCCGGGTTCCTGCCCTGACCCCGGAAGCCAGCTTCTCTTCTCTCCATACCCCAGGTCGGAGGCTTGGATTTCAGTCAAGGCTGCCCCCAATGGTTGTGTAGGTCGTAGGTATTCAAGGACACTTGAAAGAGAGGACCAGGGGAGGTGGATGACCTACAGGATCCCGGGAAGCAAAGGGGCCTTTTCCCAGGTCGCGCAAACAGTGATAGGCTAGCCTCAGCCCTAAGTCTGGGCTCCGTCCCCAGCACAGCTCATCTGAGCTCGCTGTGCCAAAATTTCCACCCCGGTGCTCTCCTCTGGGTTGACCTTTGGTGACCTCTTTTGATTCCACCGCCCCCACCCCACCCCTCCGCTAATGTATCCTTTCATCCCCCAACGTCCTGCCCTCCCCACAGCTGTCCCGGTACAGCTCCAGCCCGGTCCCCGAGCCTTTCGGCAGCCGAGGGTCCCCCCGGAAGACAGCCACGGACAGCGCAGACACCCAGTTTGGACGCTCCGAGAGTGCTCCGGCCCTGCTCCCCTACAGCCCTCTATCCCCAAAGGGCCGACCATCGTCTCCGCGCACCCCGCTCTATCTGCAGCCTGATGCTTACGGCAGCCTGGACCGCGCGCCCTCGCCGCGGCCGCGCGCTTTCGAAGGCGCCGCCAGCCCCATGGGCCGTGCTCCCTCCCCGCGACCGGGGTCAGGCCCGCTCCGCCAGCAAGGTCCCCCTACGCCCTTCGACTATCTGGGACGTGCGGGCTCCCCGCGTGGCAGCCCTCTGGCGGAGGGGCCCCAGGCCTTCTTCCCCGAGCGCGGGCCCTCGCCGCGCCCACCTGCAGCAGCCTACGACGCGCCCTCGGCCTTCGGGAGCCCCCTGCTGGGCGCGGGCGGCAGCGCCTTCGCCCCGCCTCTGCGCGCGCAAGGTGAGGCAGGGGCCCCAAATGGGGGGCGACGGGGACTGGGGTCCAGTCCCCCGTCACATCCTCATGCGCAACCACCCGCCCCAGATGACCTGACGCTGCGCCGGCGACCCCCGAAAGCCTGGAACGAGTCTGATCTCGACGTGGCTTACGAGAAGAAATCCACGCAGACAGCCAGCTACGAACGTGAGCCAGGAAGCCCGGGCATTGGGGGCCCCGAGGCGAGGACCCCCGACCCCGGCCCTAATGATTCCTGCCCTTCAGGTCTGGACGTCTTTGCCCGACCCGCCTCGCCAGGCCTGCAGCTGTTGCCCTGGAGAGAGAGCAGCCTGGATGGGCTGGGGGCCACCGGCAAGGTGAGGGGCCAGGGACGCCAGGTGAGGGAGCTGGGGGCCTCCTGGCGGAGCCCTACGCCCTTCCCCAGGCGCTTCCTTCTTTATCCTGATTTGCACCCCTCCTGGACCCGCTCTCTCACCCCCTGGCTTCCTGCCTCCTCCTCTCCCTTCTCGACCCTGTGCCCCTATCTCCTCCTCTTTCCCTTCTGAGCCTCTGCTCCCGGCTCACTTTCCCCCTCTGCTCTCCAGGACAACCTCACCAGCGCCACCCTGCCGCGAAACTACAAGGTCTCCCCTCTCGCCAATGACAGGCGTTCAGACGTGGGCAGCTACCGTCGCTCGCTGGGCTCCGCCGCCCCGTCAGGCACTTTGCCCCGCAGCTGGCAGCCTGTCAGCCGCATCCCCATGCCCCCCTCCAGCCCCCAGCCCCGCAGTGCCCCTCGCCAGCGTCCCATCCCCCTCAGCATGATATTCAAGTTGCAGAACGCTTTCTGGGAGCAGGGGGCCAGCAGAGCCATGCTCCCTGGGTCCTCCGTCTTCTCCAGAGCACCCCCACCTAAGCTGCCTCCCCAGTCCCAGCCACCCCCCCAGACCCAACTGCAGCCCCAGCCCCAACCACAGCCCCAGTTGCCCCCCCAACCCCAGCCCCAGCCCCAGCCTCAGCCCCAGCCCCAGGCCCAACCCCAGGCTCCAGTCCCCCAGGTCCCCCAACAAACATGGCCACCGGTGAATGAAGGTGAGTCAATAACAGGCCCCTAGAGGGCTGGGTGAAGGGAGGACAATGAAGGGACAGATTAGCTGGGAGAACCATCTCCTTCCAGACACTGCCCTTCAGAGTGCTAGGCCAGGTGAACTTGGGCATTGGCACAGGAGCCAGGGATGGTACAGTGGTTAAGGATGGACCCTGGGGGCAGACTGCTTGCTTCTACACTGTGTGACCTCAGGGACGTCAATTTCCTTGAGTGTAAAAACTGAACAATGATAAGAGCCTATCTTATGGGAGATGGCATTAAAACCATATCGAGTCCTTGAAATAGGGCCCAATGCATAGTAATCCCTCAATAGCTATCATTTGTTATGATAATCATTAATGTTTTTTGGTAGGAGATCTGTGGAGTTAAGCAGAGAGGGTTTCGGCATCTCTCCACCACTGACTTACTGTGTGACTCAGGATGAGTTACCTAACTTGTCTGAGTATCTGTTTACCCATCTGTGAAGAGAGATTAATATCTACCTTATAGGAGGGTGACAGGGATTATGTCATAATAGTGTTTGTTACAATGGGTGGGGTGGTGCACGCCTATTATCCCAGCAACTCAGGAGGCTGAGGCAGGAGGATCACAAGTTCAAGGCCAGCCTCAGCAACTTAATGAGTCCTCACCAACTTGCCAAGATCCTGTCTAAAAAATTTTAAAATATATATATATGTATACATGACTGGGGATGTAGTCCAGTGGTAAAGGGCATCTGGGTTCAATTCCCAGTATCAAAAAAGAAAACAAAAGTGATTATTACTGCTCCCACCTGCTTGCTTGCTTTGGTACCAGTGATTGAACCCAGGGGTGCTTAACCACTGAGCCACATCTCCAGTCCTTCTTGTTTTTTTTTAATTTTTTTATTGTTGGTTGTTCAAAACATTACATAGTTCTTGATATATCATATTTCACACTTTGATTCAAGTGGGTTATGAACTCCCATTTTTACCCCGTATACAAATTGCAGAATCACATCAGTTACACATCCATTATTTACATATTGCCATACTAGTGTCTGTTGTATTCTGCTGCCTTTCCTATCCTCTACTATCCCCCCCTTCTTGCTTTTATTTTGAGACAGACAGGGTCTCACTAAGTTGCTTAGGGCCTTGCTAGGTTGCTGAGGCTGGCTATGAACTTGCAGTCCTCCTGTTTTCAGCCTCCTGAGACCCTGAGATTTTAAGGTGTGCACTACCACACTCAGCTCCCACTGCCAAAGGGCAATAAGGCAGAGAGAAGAGATCATTAAATGCTGGGATTCTACTTCTGGAAGGAGTTTTCTGCCCGAGATGGTAGGAGAGGAAAGCTTGCAGATCTTGGAAAGTCCGGTCCTCATGGTTGCTAGGAGTACAGATTCTGAAGTCAGCCAGCAGTGTGACTTTGGGTAACTTAGTTACTCTCTCTGAGGTTCAGATTTCCTTCGCATAGTATGGAGATAATAGCCTAGAGGGGAGAGTTCAACAAGACCAGCATGTAAAGTGCCAGGCACATCCTAAGTGCTCAATAAATGGGAGGTGTAATTACGTATTGTTCACAGTTCAGGGAATATGTAGCCCAGAAAGGGAATGAAACTGCCCTGAGGTCACACAGAAAATAAGGTAGTGATTTCAGACCCTGGAAGTTGTGGAGAGTTTTGGGGGCCTTCAGAGGACTTGTCCTCTGATTGGGTTCTTGTTCCTGCTAGGCCTCCTCAAACCCCCTGCCGAGGCGGAGGCTGAGCCTGAGCTAGAGGGGCTGCTGACACCGGTGCTGGAGGCTGGTGATGCAGACGAAGGCGCTGTAACTCGGCCCCTCAGCCCCACGAGGCTGCAGCCAGCGCTGCCCCCTGAGGCGCAGTCGGTGCCCGAGCTGGAGGAGGTGGCCAGGGTGCTGGCCGAGATTCCTCGGCCCCTCAAACGCAGGGGCTCCATGGAGCAGAGCCCTGCCGTGGCCCTGCCCCCTACTCACAAGAAGCAGTACCAGCAGATCATCAGCCGCCTCTTCCACCGGCATGGCGGGCCAGGGCCTGGGGGGCCTGAGCCAGAGCTGACGCCCATCACCGAGGGATCTGAGGCCAGGGCCGGGCCCCCTGCTCCTGCCCCACCAGCTCCCCTACCGCCCCCAGCCCCACCCCAGAGCAGCCCACCAGAGCAGCCACAGAGCATGGTAAGTAACACAGGAGGAAACGGGTGTGTCTGCTAGCGTCTGGGGCCAGCTGCTGTAACAAAACACTCCCAAGTACGTGCCTTATGTGAGAGAAGCAGCCCTCTTCTGAGGGCTAGTTCAGGAGTCTGGGAATCCAGCCTCCCAAATGATGGAGACTGAGTCGCTGGTCCCTGGGGCCAGTGGTTAACAGCATTGGCCATAGAGCTGGGCTCACCTGTGTTTGAATCCTGGCTGTGTGCCACTTACCAGCTGTGCAGTCTTGGGTGAGACATTTAACCTCTCTGGGCCTCAGTGTCCTCATTTGTGAATGGTGAGAATTACAGCCACTGCCAGGTTTCTGTTCTGGTGACTAAAATGCTCAGGGGTCACTCCAGGTAAACTGGGCTGACTGGGCCGCGCAAAATAACCACACAAGAGACACAAATACCTTTTTCTTTGGGGTCGCTGTGACAGCTTCTCTGACCTTTTGGGTCCGCAGAAAGAGAGAGAGAGAGAGCACCCTGCTGACCCCTTTTACTGAGAAGCTATTCAAATGAGGCAAGGAGTCAGGTTTCAGGGGCTGAGTCCATCTTCATGATGTCCACTGTCAGCAGGTTGACTGACATCTAGGTAGGCCACACCCAAGGGCACAGTAAGAGAAGGGGACACACACAAGGCACTTCCATGGAAGATTCTATCCTAAACAGGGCAAGGGGTTATATTGCAAAGGAACAGGTGAGCATAGCTCCACCCATAGGGCTGTAGGAAGGCTCGCCTAGGCATGAAGACCCTAGAAGAGCGGGGCAGTCTAGCAGCATGGGTGCCTGAGGCCACATCGCCCAGCAGGGGAGTTAACTCAGTCACGTGCAAGGTTGGTCTCCCACAAGCCACCTCATGAGGTTGCTGTGAAGGTCTAGTGTATTGAGTGGGTAGAATGGTGCCTGGCACATAACTGTTAGCTGCCATTAATGTTGTCATTTGCCCAGGGGATGGTCTCTTGCCGATCTTAGTTTTGGCTGTGCATCGGGGATGGGGGCAGAGTTATAGTCAGGTGGAACTGTCCTGAACACAGTGTGGGTAGATGTGTATGGGACAGTTCCCAGAGAAGTGGGGGTGAAGCAGACACCCCAGAATGCCTGTTACCAGCCTCCCCAGGGTAGAGCCAAGGAACGAAAAGGCTCAGGGCCCTGAGATCAAGAGGGGAAGGATGATATCTCAAAATAGGAGAATTGTCCCCTCAGAGAATCACAATGTCTTGGTCACAGAGAAGCTTGAAAAGACACAAAATTCAAGAATTGAACTCAGCAACTTAATGAGGCCCTAAGCAACTCAGTGAGACCCTGTCTGTAAATAGAATACAAAATAGGGCTGGGGATGTGGCTCAGGGGTCAAGTGCCCCTGAATTTAATCCCTGGTACCCCCCAATTTTTTTTTTAGATGTAGATGGACACAACACAATGCCTTTATTTTTATGTGGTGCTGAGGATCGAACCCGGGTCCTGCCTGTGCTAGGCGAGCGCTCTACCGCTGAGCCAGAATCCCAGCCCCCCAATTTTTTTATTAAGAGTAATATTTTAAATTAACACTTTCTATCGTAGAAGAATACATAAACACCTTAGAAAACATGGAAAAAAACAGTAATCAGTACCGAGAACAAAAGTCTCAGCACTCAGAACTGTGATAAACAATTTGAGTATCTCCTTCAGTCTTTTGCAATGAAATTCTAATAGTAAAATATGAAAGTTCTCATAGAATATCAGGATTGCAAAACCCTGGCCCCTCCACAATTCGAAATAGTGAAGGAAATAGTATAATTTAGCATTTCTGCAATCACAACATATTGAAAACTTGAAATAACAGGGCATACTGGTGATCCTAGCCACTCGGGAGGCTGACACAAGAGGATCACAGGTCTGAGGCTACCTTGAGCAATTTAGCAAGAACCTGTCTCAAATTAAAAAAAAAAAATTAAAAGGAGATGGGATGTAGCTCAGTGGTAGGTTCTTGCCTAGCATGCACCTGGCCCTGGGTTCAATCCCCAGTACTGGGAAGAAGGAAAAAAAAAAAAAGAAAGAAAGAAAAATAACTGAGAAATTGAAGATTTTGGATTCACTGCCTCTTAGTATCTCTAAATTTCAGAATCTTGCAATCATTGAAATGCTGGAGACAGCCAAGACCAGAATAACTAACACTGCATGTGCATGCACACACAAACACACACTCAGTAGAAATAAATCTTGTAGGAGGAAATGAAAAATAAGAAAGCACATGAATAACATGATGAATACTCATATCCCAAACCTCTGGAATTAAGACCTGGTAACACTTGTCATGCATGCTTCATGGCATTTTATCTGTATCTATATTTTTAATACATAACTTATTTTGTGTAGTCGTGTATATGTGTATGCACATGCATGTGTGTGCACGTGTGTCTGTGTGTATAGTGAATAACTAGCTTCCACATTCATTGCCTTGAAGGTCTAGAATTACTTGGCCACCCACTCCATAGCCTCTCAGTTACTCGCAGGTCTCAGGGTCAAGATCCAAAGATATTTGCTGTTGTAGAGTTCAGGAGGACCGGGGCCAGGACACACCTCTCCCCGGTGCGAATCCCAGCCCTCCTCCTTCCCCCTGGATACTTGGGCGATCTGGGCAGCTGCTGCCTGGTCCTTAAGCCTGTGGTCCCCGGCCTCCCCCTAATGGGTGTGCAGTACTAACAATTCCTCCTAGTCTCTGAGGTCCCCGCCCTGTCCCGCAGGAGATGCGCTCGGTGCTGCGCAAGGCGGGCTCCCCGCGCAAGGCCCGGCGGGCGCGGCTCAACCCGCTGGTGCTGCTGCTGGACGCGGCGCTGACCGGGGAGCTGGAGGTGGTGCAGCAGGCGGTGAAGGAGGTGAGGGAAGCTGAGCTGGAGGTGGTGGGTGTGGGGTGACATCCACTGGACTAAGCCCCTTCCTGGCCCACTCAGATGAACGACCCGAGCCAGCCCAATGAGGAGGGCATCACCGCGCTGCACAATGCCATCTGCGGCGCCAACTACCCGATCGTGGACTTCCTCATCGCGGCGGGCGCCAATGTCAACTCCCCAGACAGCCACGGCTGGTGAGGCCTAAGCCGCAGGGGACTGGCGCGGGCATGGGCGGCCGCGCTGGCTGGCGCGACCCCCTCACGCATGCCTCCTGCGCCTAGGACACCTCTGCACTGCGCGGCATCGTGCAACGACACGGCCATCTGCACCGTGCTTGTGCAGCATGGCGCTGCAATCTTTGCCACCACTCTCAGCGACGGCGCCACCGCCATCGAGAAATGCGACCCCTACCGGGAGGGCTATGCTGACTGCGCCACCTACCTGGCAGGTGCGCCCGGCTGGGGCTCTTGGGCTGGTGCTGAACCTCCCACCTGGCTGCAACGCAGGCTGCGCCCCACAGGGAGAGGAGGACGTGGGTGCTGCACCAGTGGGATCTCTGGAGAGAGGGATGTGGAGTGGGCCACCTGTGGGGAGGGGCGTGGCAGTGGAGGGCGTGCCATTTTTAGGGAGACCTGCGGGGAGACGGGGTGGAGATGGTGCTGCTCCCCGCTTTCTACCTGCGGGGTGGAAAGTTATAGTTTCCAGCTATACCATCGACCCGGCACAGGGCTGAGCAGGTGGGCTCTCCCACCTGTCTGAGGCCGCAGTACACACCTGGCAGGTGAGAAGCCATGCAGCTGGGAAGGGCCTAAGGACTGTTGCATTTGTGGGGAGTCTGGAGGCTGTGCCATCTCTAGACTAGATGTCACCTAGTTTCCCTGAGGGAGGGCGAGTAGGGGGACCACGGGGATCAAGCGGAGGGTCCCTGCTGCACACCTGGAAGGGCAACTTGGATTGCAGTTTGGCCTTAGGGACCTTGGGCTGGAGTGATTGGGAATGTGCGCCAGGGGAACAGGGCGGTGACCCGCGTCCCGGTGTCCTACAATGTTAGAGGCTGCCAATTCCAGCATCAGACTTCCCCTCTGGCTCCTGTCCCCTGACCTGAGCACGCACAACTCCAGTTGGCTAGGACAAGCGCCAGGGGTCAGCCCCTGTCCCCAGCCCTCCGCCGAGCTCTCACCATGGCGGTCCTGGCCTTTCAGACGTGGAGCAGAGCATGGGGCTGATGCACAGTGGGGCGGTGTACGCCCTCTGGGACTACAGCGCGGAGTTTGGGGACGAGCTATCCTTCCGAGAGGGCGACTCTGTCACCATCCTGCGGAGGGACGGGCCGGAGGAGACCGACTGGTGGTGGGCTACGCTGCACGGCCAGGAGGGCTACGTGCCGCGGAACTACTTCGGGGTGAGCTCAGAGAGATGTCCCAAGGACCTCCAGCGGCAGTTTGGGGCAGAGCTCACAGGAGAAAGGGAGGGAGGAGGACAGCCCGGTGGAATGGGTGAGGCAGGCTGGGTATCTTTGATAGACAGAGGAGAAAAGCCCCCGGTAGTAATGGTGGGGTAAGGGAAAGTCGCCCACAGTCAGGGGAGTGGGTGAGGAAGAGCCTCCCAGGGCCGGTGCCTTTGTGGGGTCCTCGCCAGTACAGCCATTGGGTTCCCCTTCAAATCTTTAATTTTTTTTTTTGTACTGGGGATTGAACCCAGGGAACTTAACCACTGAGCCACATCCCCAGACCTTCATTTGTTTGTTTGTTTATCATTTGGAGACAGTCTCACTTGAGTTGCTTAGGGGCATGGCTAAATTGCTGAGGCTGGCTTTGAACATGCAATCCTCCTACCTCAGCCTCCTAAACTGATAAGGTCCCAGTTATGTGCCACCACACCCAGAGTTGATTCCAGCTTGATCAGGCATTTTTACTGGGTTGGGAGTGTGGCCTGTCTGCATGCTCAAGGTCCTGGGTTCCATTCCCAGCACTGCCCAAAAAAAAAAAAAAAAAAAAAAGTTTTATTATCATCCCTGATTATTTTGATGGGAAGGTTAAAAAGGAATCCCATCTTATCAGGATGAACCCAACTATTATGTATAACAATAAGGCTTAATAAAAAAGAATGAGAAGATTTTTTAAAAATATTTGTTTTTTAGTTTTAGGTGGTCACAATATCTTTATTTTATTTTTATGTGGTGCTGAGAATCGAACCCAGTTCCTCACGCATGCTAGGTGAGCGCTCTACCACTTGAGCCACATCCCCAACCCCCAAGAATGAAAAGACTTTTAAAAAAGAATCCCATCTTGGGTTGGGTCTGTGGCTCAGTGGTAGAGCACTTGCCTAGCATGTGTGAGGCACTAGGTTCAATAATCAGCACCATATAAAATTAAATAAATAAAATAAAGGTGTTGTGTCCAAGTACAACTAAAAAAATATTAAAAAAAAAAAAAAAGAATCCCATCTTAGTGATGGGGGAAAGTTCAAGGATTATAGCTGGGCACTGTGGCACTTGACTGTAATCCCAGTTACTTGGAAGGCTGAGACAGGAGGATTTCAAGTTCCAGAATCCTTGGCAACTTAGTTGGACCCTGACTCAATAAATAAATAAATAGGCCTGGGGCTCAGTGGTCAAATGCTTCACGGTTCAATCCCCAGTATCTTGGGGGAAATCACATATCACAGCCATGGCAGAAGGTGGTTTTATTCTGCAGCATGAGGCTAGGTGAGGAAGAATCCATTAATAAAATCAGAGTAGAAATCTAACTTCTATAAAATTTTAGAAGATCCCCCCAGGGTTGAGTGAGGGTTCTGTTATATTTCTGCAAAGAATTTTTTTTTTTTCCTTGGGAGTGGGTATCAGAGATTGAACTCAGGGGCACTCAACCACTGAGCCACAACCCCAGCCCTGTTTTGTATTTTATTTAGGGACAGGGTCTCACTGAGTTGCTTAGCACCTCACTTTTTCTGAGGCTGGCTTTGAACTTGAGATCCTCCTGCCTCAGCCTCTCGAGCTGCTGGGATTATAGGCGTACACCACAGCACCCATCAAGAATATTCTTTTAATTCAGGAGAAGCTGGGTGGTAGGGAGAAGGAGGCATCAGTTTTATGGCAGTTTAATAGACCCAGAAGATTCCCTTTCATCTGCTGCTGAATCCAAGGCCTTGTATGGTGCTTGGAGGGGACAAGAGAGTTGGGATTCTGAGTGCTGGGGGGAGCCCGGGAGGAAGGGATGGGAGATGGAGGCAGCCCACCTCCTTGGTGGGCATAGGGAAGGATGAGGGCTGGAGCCCCAATGTCTGTCTGAAGGTCTGCTCCCCTCAGCTCTTCCCCAGGGTGAAGCCTCAGAGGAATAAAGTCTAGCCGGACAGAAGGATGTTTTCCCAGGCGACAAGAGCAAGCCAGCCTGCCCTTGCCCCAGATGTCCCCCTCCACATACTGCTGTTTACCTGTGCCCCTAACTCTGCAGGGGTGGGGCCCTCACCACCATTTCTCAGCTCTTCCAGAAGCCAGTGGAGGAGAACTTCAGCCTTAAGTTTAGCAATCTGCCTTAACCGTGGAGGCCCCAGGGGTGAGGCTGAGAATCTTGGGGGCAGGAGATCCTCCACATTTGCCAAAGCAGATCCCGTCCAAAGTGCTTCCCGCCCTGACTGCCAATCACTCCTCACCCTCAGCAGCCAACCCACCATCCCATCTGAGCCTGGGATTTGAGACCCCCCCTCAACTGACTTCCCCTGGGAGTCACTCCTATCCCTTGTCTCCCAGAAGCTCTGGGGTCTGGGGGAGACCCACTGGTTTCCACCAGGATCCTCACCCCGCCTTCCCCAGTTAAGTGCCTTCACGAAGTGCTGGTTTTATGTTTATAACCAAATGGGGGAGTTTTCTTTATAAATAAAGGTAGTTTGCACAGAAATCGACTCCCTTCTCTTTTGATCCTGTTCTGACTCAATAAATGCTCAAGGTGGGCAAACCAGTGTGGGCTTTTGTTTATTTGGTGACGTTGGGGATGGAACTCAGGGCCTCATGCAGTCTATCACTGAGCTGTGCCTCCTCCCTTGGCAAAGCAGACTTAAAATAGTCACTTTCTAGGGGAATCCCTGACCTTTCCCTTCCTCTTTTCCACGCTTCACATTCCTCTTTGTGTCTTTTATTTAGTGATATGTATTAGCAGCTTTTCACACTGTAACAAACTGCCCAAGGTAGGTTAACTTTATTAAGAAGGGAGACTCATTAGGCTCACAGATTCAGAATCTTAGAGCCCAAACACCATGGCACAGGCCCTGGCAAGGGCTGCCTGGCACTTGGCCAGAGGGTGTGCAGGAAGGAGGGGTCACGTGGTGTGTCTCCTGGGGTGGGTTAGGTCTCCAGGGTCCCCTATCTCTGATTCCCACCAGTCTCCCTGGCTGCAGCTCTTCCGCCAGCCCTCAGCCTGACACTGTGGCCACTCTGAGCAAACCCTAAGCTTTCCCCACGCACCCCTTCATATCTCTGAGTGACATAAGCCTAGCTTGGAAGGAAGAAAATCTAGATTTCTCACTGGAGAAATGTAGGAAAGATTCTCTGCTTGCTGGGCCTGTTTTCCCATCATAAAGAAATGGATCTGGTAAGTATCGTAGGGATCATCATGAGTATTCAGTCATTACCATTTTTTTGAGCACCTACTATTTGCCACTGTCTAAAGCTGGGTCCCTGCTATCAAATTCGTACACTCTCTGGACATTTGATGATACTAAACAATTATTAATACTCTCTGAGTTGCACTAATGAGTTATGCCTATGTTCTAACAGAGTCCTTAATTTTAGAGAGACATTCTGAAATACTTCTGGACGAAATGATGTATGAGATTTGCTTCAAAATCATGGAGTGGGCGACAGTAAGGGTGTGTAGAGGAAGCAAGATAAGCCCAGGGTTGAACATTGCTGAATTATAGTATGTGTTTTACCCTTCTTTCTTTTTTTTAAGAAATATTTATTTTTTAGTTATAGGGGGACAGAATATCTTTATTTTATTTTTATGTGGTGCTAAGGATTGAAGCCAGTGCCTCACACATGCTAGGCGAGCGCTCTACCTCCAAGCCACAATCCCAGCCCATGTTTTACCCTTCTCTTAACTGTGTGTCTGTTTGAAATTGTCTAACCCCACTACCACTTCTCTTAACTGTGTGTCTGTTTGAAATTGTCTTTGACACAGCTAAAAAATGTCCCTGCTGGCTGGGCACAGTGGTGCATGCCTGTAATTCCAGCAGCTCAGGAGGCTGAGGCAGGAGAAGCATGAGTTCAAAACCAGCCTCAGCAAATTAGTGAGACCCTAAGCAACTCAGTGAGACCCTGACTCTAGATAAAATACAAGGAAGTCTGGGGATGTGTCTCAGTGGTTAAGCGCCCCCTGGTACCAAAAAAAAAAAAAAAAAAAAATCCCCGTTGCAGGAGAGCTGACCTTCTAGTGCAAGAAACACACAGTAAAAATGAATAAATAAATAAACCAAACGATGAGCAAAATCTACTTCAGATCCAATGAGGGCACGGGGAGAGGGCGGAGTCCTCGGGCCAAGTCAGGAGGTGTTTTCTGTGGCTGCCATAACAAATGACCACAAACTCTGTGGCTTAAAACAACACACATTTATTTTCTGACCTCCCCTCCAATTTTGGTACCAGGGATTGAGCCAAGGAGCACTTAACCACTGGGCCACATCCTCAGCCGTTTTTATGTTTATTTAGAGACAGGGTCTCACTAAGTAACCGAGGCTAGTTTTGACTAGCTGAGATCCTCCTGCTTCAGCCTCCCAAGCCGTTGGCATTACAGGCATGCACCACCTTGCCCAGCTTTCTGACTATTTTGAAGGTCAGAAGTCCCAGCTCGCTTGCACTAGGCTGAAACCAAGACCTTGGGGAGCCATCTTCCCACAGAGGCTCTTGGGAGAAATCAGGTCCTTCCTTTCTAGGATTCTAGAGCTGCATTCTTTGCATTCCTTGGCTCCTAGCCTCCTCCTTCACCTTCAAAAGGAACCTTCCTCTTAGATTTGTGATGATGTTTAGGGACCAGGGATATCTACCCCAGGATTGTCTCCCCATCCCGTGATCCCAGGGTTCAAGCATGCTAGGCAAGCCCTCTACACAAAGCTGCGCCCCAGCAAAGAAAACTGCATTTGTAATGAGCAGGCAGTTGTCAGTCATCCTAAGATCATCCTTCCCCATCCTCCTTGCCTCCTGTTATTCACCCCTTTTAGAAATTCTCTTCCCTTGAGCTGGATGTAGTGACATAGTCTAAGAACACAGCAGAAGCACTTCTGAAATCCGGTTCTAAAAGTTAATAGTAACTTCCATTTTGCTCCCATATCTCTCTGGCTCTTCTTGACCCAGCCAGGGACCTTCCGGAAAGACAGGACCCCTTAAGGACGAAGGGAAAAACATCTCAGGGGAAATAAGACAGCCATACTAGCTCTCAGTCTTACCAGGTTAACAGCTATACTAGAAAATTAGGAGTTAAAAGATAAGCTAGTCTCCAAGGCTGCGGGAAGGAGAAGATGGGGTGCTGGAATGTCAGTTCTGAGACTATGCGGTTAGCAGCCATAAATCCCAGCTCCAGCCAAAGCAGGGTCTGCGCAATTCGGAAAATAATATCAGAGACTTTCCCAAATGGTAAAGGTAACTCCAGATGCAGAGAAGCCAAGGATGCATAAAACCGTTACCTTTACCTTATCAGCACAGCAAAACGCACACTTGTAGATGGAGACTTAAGATGGTAATGGGCCAGGCGCAGTGGTGTTCTCCTGTAATCCCAGAGACTTAGGAGGCTGAGGCAGGAGGACTGTGAGTTCAAAGCCAGCCTCAGCAAGTTAGCGAGGCCCTAAGCAACTCAGAGAGACCCTGCCTCAAAATAAAATACAAAATAGGGCTGGGGATGTGGCTCAGTGGTTAAGCGCCCCTGGGTTCAATCCCCAGTATCAAAAAAAAAAAAAAAAAAAAAAAACGATGGTAATTACTGTGGCCCATGATGAAGAAGAGCATAGGCGCAAACGAAGTCCTATCTCTACGTGTGATGACATCAAGGGACTGAGTTCCTGCCTCCTGTACAGGCCTCAGCAGCCCTCCTGTTTTGCTCTTCCCTGGAGTCAGCACGGGCTCTGTGCTGCCTGCCTTCTGGCTCTAGCAGATACAATATCCCTAACATAGCCTTGTCCGGGCTTAAATTCCTAAAGCTCTGGATCCAAGAACCTGAGTCTAGGTTTCTGGCTTTGATGAGTCAAGTTGCCTTTGAAGACATCCACATGGCAGGGGCCAGCGAGGACCTGAATCCGGCAGGAACCCCCTGGGGAGGTCAGTAACACGTTGCCCAATGGGGACTTGAGAGGACTGCAGCTGTGTCCAACTCCTGATCTATAGAACAAATAATAAGCCAGGCACAGTGGCACATGCCAGTAACCCCAGGCACTCAGGAGGCCAGGCAGGAGGATCACAAGTTCAAGGCCAGCCTCAGCAACTTAGTGAGAACCTGTCTCAAAATTTAGAAAAAGGGCTGGGGATGTAGCTTAGTGGTAGAGCACTCTTGGGATCCATCCCCACTACCACAAAATAAACTTTTTTTTTTTTTTTTAAAGCTAGAGAAATAGTTCAGTGGTAGAGCACTTCCCTAGCATGTGTGAGGCTGGGGTTCCACCCCAAACGCGGCGCGCACACACACAGAGGAAATAAAAGAAATGGGATAAGGAGAGCTGACCTTCTAGTGCAAGAGACACACAGTAAAAATGAATAAATAAATAAACCAAACGATGAGCAAAAGCTACTTCAGATCCAATGGTGACCACCATGAGGGCACGGGGAGGCATGATATTTGGGGATAATTTATGCAGAAATAGCTCACTAATGCAGGTGCCTGCTGCCTGGATGGCAAAACCAGGGGCCCAAGGGTGCCTGGAGGAGCAGCGAGGAGAGAGAACAGTAGAAGATGGCGTCAGGGAGGTAATGGGATATTTAGCACAGGGCCTGGGATATGTCAGTCCAGTACTCTATTTTTTGGGAGTGGGGTGGGTACCGGGGATTGAACTCAGGGGCACCCAACCACTGAGCCTCATCCCCAGCCCTAGTTTGTAGGGCTATTATTTAGAGACAGGGTCTTACTGAGTTGCTTAGTGCCTCCTTTTTGCTGAGGCTGGCTTTGAACTTGAGATCCTCCAGTCTCAGCCTCCTGAGCTGCTGGGAATACAGGCGTGTGCCACCTTGCCTGACTCCAGTACTCCATTTTATTTAAAATTTTTTATTATTGGTGCTAAGGATCGAACCCAGGGTCTCATGAGTGCTAAACACAGGCTCCACCAGTGAGCTGTCACCCTGGCCCCACCCTCAGTACTTCTAGGAAGCCCTCCCTGATGACTCTGGTCAATATACCCCACAGACCATAACAGGCACCCCAGTGAAGACTTTATGGTTTTCTGAAAATTTCCTTCACAGTATTTGCCATGCTTATAATCATATTTATTTTTGGTACTAAGGATTGAACCCAGGGGCACTTAACCACTGAGCCCCATCCCCAGCCCTTTGTGTATTTTATTTAGAGACAGGGCCTAACTAAGTTGCTTGGCACCTCACTAAGTTGCTGAGGCTGGCTTTGAACTTTCGATCCTCCTGCTTCAGGTTCCCCAGCTACTGGGATTACAGGCATGTGCCACCATGCCTGGCTTCATATATTTTTTTGTATACTTAGTATTGTTCTTTGAGGACAGGAACCAGAGCAGTCATGGACATATGTTCCAGGAACACAACAGATGCCCCATAACTACTTATTGAGCACATAGAAACTAGCATTTATCAAATACTTAGTTTGTATTAATTGGAGCTTTAACTGCTTCATATGGGTTCATTTAAGTATCTTATTGTTTAATTGTTCCTTCTTTGCTTCTCCTGAGGTGGAATCCCAGAGTAGTTTGATCAAGGTC